CTGTTTCTACGTTACTAGATCGACTGGCCGAATGACTCTTATACTTCGAAAATGACTGACTGACTGACAGAACCGGACACAGAATATGAGCAGGAAATAATGAGAGCGAATCTCGTTGTGTCACGGTTTATATAGGGAGCTTTGGAGGGTGGTCCTCTATTGAAAAGTGTTAAGTAGGAAAAATCGGGGATTCGGTTGGAGGGATTTTTCTGTTTTTGGTAGGAAATTCATGTTTCATATTCTTACTGGCGAACTATTTTCAAAATTTGCTCCACTCGCAGTGCAAGTTTCATCCCTTGAGAATTTATTGGTGATATGTCATCACCTTCTCTAGATTTTCTGGTCTACGGTCATCCATTGGCGATTTTAGTCTTAGGTTTTCTTTCTGAAGAGAGAGGGTATTTCGCTCATCGCTCCTTCCGAACGACCCGACCACGACAATTTGAAAGCTCGCATTTCCTTTTTTTTTCATATCTCCTATTCTTACTTGAACGTGCGTTCTCTCGTCTAGACAGTATTTGCTCCAAATTTTATGACCGTCAGCAAAAAATTAAAAACTACTCCTGTTATCCTATTTCCAGTACTGCTTCCTGTTGTTAACGAAAGAACGTCCTTCAACGCATTGTTACACGTTTTGAAATGCGATCTTCTATCACTCAGAATTCCCAATCTGCATTTAGATATTTTTTTATTGAAACTGAATGTGTTTAAACCGAACTTTATCGACATGGCTTGTAATCCTGTCATAAGTTTCATTACTGTGGATCGGGTGATCCTGGGTATTTATGTTTTTTGTCATCTTTCCAAAATCGTTGGAAAGACTTTCAATGACACATCTTCTACATATTGTCACGCTCGCTGACCGGTGACCTTAACTCCCGCATTTTTTCCTCGCGCCTTGTCTCAACGATCACCTTGTTAAGTTCACGAAAGTGGAGTCCTCCCTGACGTAACAGTATTTTCACGCGGATTATATAAAATTATCAGCTTTTACAATAACCGTAACTCTTATTTAAATGATTTCGGCGATGTATAATTCAAAATTAAACTATGTCTAATTAACGGAGCTTTTTTTTTTAAGGTGGAGAAAATCTTCTGACCCCCTTCAAGGAGCGATGGTCCTTATTAATGGTTAATTAATGGTTAATTAGATTATCGAGTTTGTATTCATACACACATACACACACACACACATTATATTATCATGAGTACAATTAGTAGATAAAAAAATTATTAAAAATCGAGTCACTAAATAGCTGCGGGCTAGAATAATTTTCATTGATTTTGATTAATTTCTAGGCATCTTGGATGCAATTCATACATTTTATGTTTTGATTTTGACGGCTTAGCCGCAATGGGAGAAAGACGTCGAGCTCAAGTAGAACAACAATTTATACACGTTTATAAAATGTTTAGGATTTAATGGTTATTTATATTTTAAACTCGTTTAAGGTTATTTTAAATACGTTTTTTAGGAACCGGTTAAATGATCATGTTGTACAAACGTTTTAAAATAATAAAGCGATAATGGGAACACTGGATCATTTATGTTCTACAAATACAAATTCGAAACACGAGAATTATCCTCCAGGAGAGGATAGTTGGTGCAAGTGGTGCAAGGCTGAAGCAGCAGGTAAAGAGAAGGATTTCGACCATCTGCCTCCTCTTCATCCAGATATCGTTAAACATCTCATTCCTATTTACGAAACCTTTCGAAGGATGACTTGCTGACTAGATGTTTAGGAGGACACACTCAAAACTTGAATGAGAGTTTCAATTCTACCATCTGGCGCCTAACTCCAAAACATTTGAATTCAGGAATTAAAATTGTGGAAATAGCTTTTATTGCAGCAAATATCTTCAACGAAGGATACTTTTCCATTTTGAGAACAATGAATTTGCTAGGAATAAATATTGGATATCACTGTAAAATTTTCGCCCACAAGTACGACGAGCAGCGAATTACGAGGCAGGAGCGTCACAGCTTGATCAGCTCAAAGGAAGCCAGAACAACTCGTAGGAACCAATTATTGGAACAAAACGAGTTCTATGAAGAAGCAGAAGGCTTAGTACATGGGCCTGACATGGCAGATTAGCATCTAATTGATGTAAGTTTGCAATAACTATAATTTTTTCGTATCGAAAACTTTAAACGCGTTTTTCTCGAAACCACGTTTTTCAAGTTTATGTAACTTCTCAGAAAATAAGTATTTGACCGATTCACTTTTTCCGAAGTTTTTTAATTAGCTAATAACCTACTGTCCTTGATGAACTAAAAAATGTAACTAAATTTTTTTTTCATAAAGAAGTCAAAAATTTCTCGTAAAAATTGTAACTTTTTTTTTAATTCATACAATTTCTTTAATTCTGCACTTTTTCTTGGTTTTTTAAATTCATTTAGGATAAAATTTCCTGAAAATTAATAAAAAATTTGATTTTTTTATTTTAGATAAGAATTGGATCCGCTAGACGTTACACAAAATGACAACTCCGGCTGCACGGCAGTATAAACATATTAAAATATAACAATGTATATAACGTTTTTTTAAATAAAAAAAATATTTTTGTATTGTCTATAGATGTCGTAAAACAACTCTGAAATTTTGTATTGATCCGCTTAATGGTTGCTGAGAAAAAAATTCGCGAAAATCATCGTTTTTTCGGCATCCTAAATAAGGCTCTCCCCTTAATTACCTTCAAGGTTATGTTCAGATTCCAGGAGGATCCTGTTTGCCTACAATCCCGATTGCACACACCACTCATATCAGCTGGTGCCTAGTAGTTTTTCACTGCTTTACCAATGAGAATATTTTATTTTTAAATTGGCCAATTAGTGACGTATGTGTGCAACATGCAATGCGTGCAATCGGAGCCTTCTCCATAACGTTTTCGGCCCGGCCAGGTTTGCACCAACCTGGGTTGGATTAATGTCCTTTCGTGCTCTCCTATTGGTAGAGCGGGTGACGTCAACCAATAGGAAAGATTAATCCAACCCAGGGTATCAATCATGAAACTTTATCCTTAGGATGGAAAGTGAAAAGTGAAAATTTTAACCATTGAAGTTAATGGAGAAATTTGTCACTTTTCGCTTTTCATCCTAGGAAAAAAGTTTCATGATCGATACCCAGGTTGGTCCAAACCCGATCGGGCCGAAAACGCTATCAGATTTCCACCTGGGGGTCGATTGTGTATCTTGAAAGAAGGTGAAAATTACAAAAGTGAGCGAATTTACTAGAGTACTGATAATTTAATTGGTCAACACCTAGTAAATTTGCTCACTTTCGTAATTTTCACCTTGTTTGAAGAGGGGTAATCCCGATTGACCACGGCTCAATTGGACACCACCAATCACAGCGACCGGTGCTTAGGAGCTTTGTAGTCTCAAGCGCTGTGAGTGGCTCGTGTCCAATTGAGCCGTGTCCAACTGGGTGCCACCCGTTTGAAGATACAGGATCGACTACTGACTAACGAGCGCGTTTGAGTGAGTAGGAGTTACAGTTGGAGGAAGTAGGAGTATGTTGGAGCATGCGACGCGAACAAACCTCAGGTATCACTTTATTCTTGTTATTTATCGAATGTTAAACAAGGATGACCTAACACCCGGAGAATACCCAGGTGGTAATCATACAGGCCTCAACATATAGGTTAATCATGTGCTTGTAGGAGACAGTTATCTTCATTTAAACCAGCTTAACGAGGTTAGTTTTTATAATATGCACACGCACATATACAGGCATCGGCGGAATCCGCAAAAGAAATAAATTTGCGCAACAGAAAACGGCGGAATGAATACTGGATTCGGGGTAGCACCCAATTGGACACGGCTCAATTGGACACGAGCCACTCACAGCGCTTGAGACTACAAAGCTCCTAAGCACTGGTCGCTGTGATTGGTGGTGTCCAATCGAGCCGTGATTAATCGGGATCACCCCCTGGATTCGATGTGCGTCGTACGACGTTCAACAACTAATCAGAAAACAGGATTTTGCTTCGTATCATCAATACGAAATAAAATTCTGCTTTCTGATTGGCTGCAGAACGTCATATGACGCACATCGGATCCAGTGAATTCAGCACAAGTCTTTCTTTCTGGAATAGTGAGAGAAGAATGGAAGGCAAGCGACCAGCGTAAATGCGCGCCATCTATCATTTCAAATGTTAACTGTTTGATCGGCCATGTTATGAGACGTAAAGCTGGCTTTTCATACGCAGCACGCTGCGGCAGCAATTCGTAACTATTGGTTAAAAATTTTACATGAGATGACGCACGCAAAATACATTTTGCCGTATCTCATTGAAGTTCAACCGAACGAACAACGAGCAGCAAAGAATTTAAAGCCAAGAAAGTCTGCAATATTTGCAAAAAATGTGAAAATTGAGTACATTTATAATGAGTGCATACAATGAGTACATTTTTATTAAGATTTAAAGCGATGGGGATAGTTTAAATTCTAAATAATTATCTGAAATAATAGTTGTCCAAATTGTAACTGCATTAACAGTTGCCTTATGCTGGATTCACACTGCATCCGATTTGCGTCGTACGACGCTCTGCAACCAATCGGAAAATAAGATTTCAATGGATTTTGCTTCATATCATCGGAATTCTGTTTTCTGATTGGTTGAAGAGCGTCGTACGACTCAAATCGGATGTAGTGTGAATCCAGCATAAGCTGATCGCAAATTTGTTGCGACAGCCAATCTGAAGCTTGCATTTTGAAATCAACGCTTTATATTGGTTGTCG